TTCAGTGATCGAGCTTTTGTTCAGAACATGATAAATAATTAGTTAATGAAAAACTTGACACTAGTATAGCAATAAATTTAATCACTTATTCGTTCCAATCGTTCAACTTAATGTCAAATAAAAATATCAAATAAGCCAATGCTTTGCTTAACGCTTCCTAATATCGTTATTATGGATATCAATCTCTCAAATCTTCGATGATGCTTTAGCATATGGATTTTTTGTTCTTTTCCATAAAAAAAACTTGAAAACTGGAAATACAGAAACTTTAACTGATGAATCCCTATAATGATTATTTTGTTTTTCAGATATCTACATATTTTCACTGCTCGACGATACATTTACTTACCAAAGCGTCTATCGCTAAATTGGTTCATTAAATAGATAAAAATAGGTGTGAGAATAAATTGCCACAGCAAGATTGATACAAGAACGTGGTTCAAATCTTATTCTTCTTTCAACGATCATTCTATCACCATGAAACAAACCAATTTCCACATTCAATTAATAGAAAATATATTTCGTATAATCGATGAAACAAAATTCCATGACAATTGACAAACATGAGCTTTCTTACCATTGGTTTTCACACAACCTTCAGTGACAATTCTTCTTAAGCATCATTTATAATAAACTGCTTTTCTTCTCCTTTAGGATTGTTATTAGGCTACCAAATTTGATAGGATAAATTTACTCTCTTTTCATCTCTACATATTTACTGCAGTTATGTTCTTCAGTGTCCCTTAAGATGATTCCGATGATCTCTTGAATAGTTCTCTTTCTTTTCTCAATCTTTGCATGTATGATGAATCTTTCGATAGAGAAACTATTGACTAAGTGACGAATACATATGGATATTCCTGAATCCTGAGATATTTTTCTTTTCTAATTTCATACGAATAACAACCACGTTCCTGTTCAATGAAAATCCAGTAATCATAGAGGTTTGAACGGTGTTGAGGCATGATCTTATAGTGGCGATATTCTCGTTGAGGACCTAGTAATTACCAGGGAGAACATAAGTCAGAATCGAGATGAAAACACAGACTCTTGATACATACCAATTGAAAGCCAGTCGAATCTATTGCACAATGATTCCATCTGTTTCGTTCCATGTATTCCATCAGAATATTCCTCTGTTGCGTTCATTTCCTTAATAATAATCCAGTGCATAATAATACATTTCTGGATCGACGTCATCATCTTTTGTTTTTAAATAATGTAACAGATTGCTGAGCATCAATTATTGGCCAATTCTGAAATGTTGCACATTACAGTGCAATACATTGACATAATTTGAAAATAAAGAAAAAGTACACTTTTGATTAAAATATTTCACTTAATAATAATAATGAAGTCATTATCATCTCATATTTTCTTAATAGGAATAAAAGAAATATACCAATGCTGGAATATTACCAATTAACAGGATACTTTTTTGAAAATATTTTGTCAATTCTCTGCACGATTGTGACTCAGATCCGTTATTATTCTTTCTAGAGATCTTTTGGATTTTTCACATTTTAACAAATTGTTTTTCCAGACTTTATTCTGATCCTCTTTCAATGATAAATATAGTTAATTCATTTGTAACATTGCTTCATACCAAGTGAAAACGTCTTACTAAATGTCCATCTAAAATAAAATGTGTTTTGGAAATAATAATAACTAATAAAAATAACCATTAAGAGTAAGTAGTACTTTTAATAAAAGCAATTAATTAGAACGATAATATAATGGAAAAGTTCCGTAACTTCAGTACCAGCTTCTTCAAGTTGTTATGCTTTATTTGATAAAATTAATTTTATTATCAAATTAAATTGATAATTTGATTGTTTTATTTCATGATTTCTTATTTAAGTCAAAAGCTTTCGATTAAACTCATATTTAGAGATTAGTTCTTAGTTTCTACAAACGAATATCATTTAATAAACTTCCAACATGCTAATTTTGGTTTTAAGGCCGAAAACCTACTGAAAGGTTCATTGAATGAATGACATAAATAATGCATAATATGATATATAAGAAGCAATGAGTACCTTAATCAAAAACTTTGAAAGAATACGTCTTTCGATAAATATAAAAAGAAATAGTAATCTTAAAAACTTATCTCATCTTTCGTAGAAAGCGTGCGTGACTACGGCGACAGGTATGGACAAAATATCAACTACAAGTGAAAGTAGCGATAGATGTCTCCGTCATGCGTCTGTCCAATAATTCTATAAGCTTGCATTGGTCATTATAAATCAATTTTTACATCAAACAGGATTTCGATTGGATGGAATAGGTAATGTCAATAGACTGTGACCTCACATTTTTCATTTTCTCTAAATGTAGATCTTGCGCCTTATTCAACATAAATCACAGGCTACTCACATCAACTATCAGTGGAGGAAATAAATATAAGATATTGGTTAGTAACGTCCTATTAAAGTATCAAATAAAATAAAATCAAAGATTGAATTAGTCGATTATTTTCTTTTACATCAATACAACAAAAAAAGTAAAAGAAACAACGGAATCATTCAGCCTCAGAGAATCTACGATTTTAGAATTACTAATCTAGATGTTTGTTAACATGCTACATATTGCTTATAAAGTCTCTAAGTTTCTGGTTTATAAAATATAAAAGGAACTACACAATTTTCTAAAATTTAACAATATTTTAAAAATTTAGAACTATTAATATGAACGATTGAACACGTGTTTCCTTATTTTTGCCGTAATATTTTGCCGTGCGACGTTGTACACACATAGCGTGAATGAGAGTAAGTTATTAAAGGCTATATAATAACACGCACCTGGTCTTACGTGGGAACATCGCATGCCCACAGTATCTTTAATTATAACAAAAATAACATTAAAGCATTATATATGTATGCCATAAACTAAGTGATTAAACAGATTTACTAATTTATAGTGCTGAACTATTGTGCATGGTGACCAGAACGATCGCGTATCATGATAAATATTTCTTAATTTATTGAACCGATCAAACATTATGAAGACAGCTACATTCCCTTTGGGCAATTTAATCTTTTTTGGCATTGTAATAAATTTCGGTATAAGGGTTGTTGTATCTTTCTAGATAGTTTTCTATTTTTTGTACAATGCCTATAACATTATTTTATTACAATGCCTATAATAATGACTTTGTTCATATCACGGACTTACGAATTAGCCGCCATAGTCTAACTCATTGTAATTAATATATATACTGATTTGGCTACTTCTTTTCATATTTATATTAATTTTTTATCGGACTTTCGAAAGTTTTTGGCATTATTTCATAGAACTAACAATAACTAGGTACTTGACAATTTTTTTTTAGTCTTATATCAAGGTAAGAACGCGGCTCAAGCCGGGATTCTTCTTTTTTCTTTTTTTCGAAATATAATACTGGAAAATTACTTATCGGAAAATACTAGAAAGTCTATTCCAAATGGGAAAGAAATCAAAATGTCGAGCAAGAATTATTGCGTGCAATGTGAATTTACAATTAGATACTATAACGTAAAATCATAACACAATCCTGCTGGATTCTATTTCACTCCTAGTCCAATTTGATCGATTCTTATACTGCCTAAATGGTATTATTTATATCATTTTGTCCAATCAAATAGTAACAGTTATCATATTGACCTGTTAACATGATAAATTATGATTAAAAACCTAAATTTTACTACAGTAAATTTACGGTTTCTTATGTTAATATTTTTGTTGACTGAACATTAGAAAATTAAACATAAACATTTTTAAGACTTGCTATTAGAAAAGAAAATATTGGATCATCGGTGTTTTGAATACTGCCATATTGTTATGCCATTAAGTCGGTAAAAATTTTAATTGAATTACGCTATAAATAATTTTTTTCGGCACTGTTAATAAATATCATTAGAGAAAACATTTTACATACGCTCTGCAAGTTTTATTGCTTTATTGAAGTTAAACTTATAAAGAAACGTATTTCTTCGTTGTTTCCTTTATCGTTACTTACCATTACAAAAAAAGCATTTTCTGTAAATGTTTAAGAATTGTCTATTTCGAACAAACGTATAGAATCTCTTTAATAGTTTTCTTAATTACGTTGGAAAGTAAGTAGCGAAATAAAGAGATCGAATTATGGATATTTGGTTCGTCTTGCAAATAAATATTTACACGTCTCTTCTATAAGATATAATACGCGAACAAACTTCTAAACAAATGGATGGAAATTTTATGGGCTTATTCTATACACTAATATATTCTATATTTGATATGTGTGATATTAATGAGTTTCAAAAATTGAATAGTAACCCCCACCCTCGAGTTTTGATTACAGCATTAACTGTAAGCAAAGTATAGAGAAGAAAATCTATATGGTTTGAGTTTTTACTATTTGAAATGATGAGATCCTGATGGGCAGTTTTTATATAATACTTATTTAATACATTTATTAATTTATTTCTGCTACCGATTAATACACAGAATTCGTTATGCTTGTATATACTTTAATTAATTTCTTCTTCCAAATTTTAATTTTAATGGTTTCGACGGTTTTAGCATACAAATTTACTCCAACTCCTTCAACTCGTACTGAATAATCTATTTTAATTATAGTTGTTCTTACCAGCATAATAATTATTATTATTATCATCTCTAGCATAGCGAATTTTTGATCTAAAAGAAAGAATAAAATGAATTGTAAATGCATTTTGTTCTATAAATTTATGGTATGCTATTAAAATAATATATAAGAGTTTATAATTACCTATGCAATTTCTTCTGCCATAGCTAAATAGTAAGAATTTTGATAAACTATTCATATTTGGTAGAAATCTATCCGCATTGAATAGTTACGGATGGATCGAACATTTTTCATTTCGATAGAGTTTATACGATTAGAATTTATAGAACTCCCTTTCTTTATAGTCCAATTTTTTGTCATTTGTTTTAATTAATAAATAAATATTATTATTAAATAATATTAACAATAAAAAATTATATCGTTAATTAATCATTAATGATAACAAAATATAATTTTTATATGTAGAAATATTTTATATATCTTTCTTTACTTTCCGAGGGATGACTAAATCTGGAGGAAAAAGGCGTAACGTTTCCTTGATCACTCTTTCCAACAGTTTTATACTTTTAATATCATCATATGTTATTGGAACATATTTCGAATCGTTCGATCCGTGGATTTGGTTCAGTTCCTCGTATACTTTTTCTGATCGAAGATGTGAAAAGGATGATAAGAGGTTAATATAAAAATTATTTCCGTTACATAAATAATCACAAATAATTAAGAAAGTGTAATATTTATGTACGTTCTTGAATATCAAAATTTTATTGCATCTAAATAATAAATACGACTTACAGCTATAGCTATCGTATTAATGCCATCCTGAAAATCTTGCTCCAAATATTTTTTTCCTTCTTGCATTGATTCGAATAAAAAGTTAAGAAATGTCCTTGGCTTTTGTTTTTGGATAATTAATAAGGATCCTTTATTAGTACAAAAAAGATGAGAATTAAAATTGTATTGTATGTATTATAGTTATTCTAACTTGAATTTTTCTCTTGAATTTTCTCAAGTTTCAATAAATTTTCATTCTCAACCTAGATTCCTTTTTCCTTTAACTATCTTTAGTATTCTCTATCTATATTAAAATTTTTTAATGCTAAATAGAAATAAAGAAATTTAAAAAATACTTTTCTTAAATATGCTTCTCTTGTAACGTTATCAAGATACGATAAACACGTCTGGAATTTCTTCCCCATAGCAGTGTTATAAAAAATTATATACGTGATTATAATTTAAGGATCCTTTCGGCAGTTATATCCATCACATTGAATAAGAAAAGAAAAAATATTATAAATAAATATAGAACATTACGAGATTTATTATTATTACCGTTCTATAGATCCAGCTAATTTGGAATCCGGATTTATCAGCCAATTTATATGCGTATCTTGGATGTCATCTTTCGATAAAAAAAGTAATAAAATTATAATAAATTCATACATATGCATATAAAATTTATATACATTATTTTTTATGTACATTATTTAATGCTCCTTTGTCCCAAATTAAGTTCATTAATTTATGAATTTCTTCTGTTAATCTATTAATAAAGTCAATTCCTAATCAAGTCAATATCCAATACTTTCTGATACTTCAATCTTTTGATCGAGCTGTTTACTTTTTACAAATCGTCGTTTTGTTAAATATAGGTATAGCCCTCTGAAACTCAAGACTCTCTTCTGGTCGCGACATCTCGGTCGTTTCCAAATTCAACAATCAATAATCCATAAAAATAATTTTTCTTTTTTTAAATGTCTTTAGTACTTTCCTTGAGTCCGTAATCATCATATCATTGTCATGTTTCAACATTTCCATCCTAAATTGGAATCCTTATTTAAAATTATTTATCAATAAGTACATACCACGGAAGTTACTTCTTTGATAATTTTCATCTATACCTTATCCTTTTTATACACACTGTCATTACTTTTTATACCAATATTATTATTATTATTATTATTATTATTATTAATATTGTTACGAGCCAGACTAGAGAAATATGGAGTGAACTTTGAACTAAAAGGCCGTTTCTAGGAATCCAGAAATTTTAACACATAATAACAGATTGTCATTTGTCTTCTCAGGGAATGCCCCCCTAAGAGGACATGACTCACGAACAATCCGAAGTATTTGAATATTTTTAAGAGAGTTAATTCGTTAAGATGTTAATTGTAAACAAGTTATTCCTGTCTTGTTTATTGAAGTACTTTTTCGTTTAAACGTTTACTTTTCTAACAAACAGGATAAGGAAATACAAGTTCATGTAGAAATATATATTAAAGTAAGAAACAAATGAAAAATTTATTACATAAATTATTCATTAATTCAATAAAGAATCAAAAGAAGATGCTTTTATACAACAAAGTACTGCTATCGCAATTCATTTTTTATAAGTAATGCTATAAAAAATCATTCTCCATCGCTTCTGAGCAAGAAATCTTTTCAGTAGCGAAAAAAAATTTGCTGACGTAAATTCTAGTCGAGTGATCAATGTCCTTACATGGTAATATTTCAACAATCCACGTTTTCCTCTTCCACTCTCACTTTCTGTTAAGATACGAGGATAGTAGGAGTTGTACTGTGTAAATAGATTGACCGTAAATCACAAAAATTACTATAATCATTAGACTACTTCTATTTTAATTAAACTGTTTCTATAGATTTCAATTGATTCGATTCATCATGGAATTCACTGGAATATTAATCATTATTACAACAATACTAATTGGAACATTCTATAGAATACTAGTATACTTTTTAAATAAATCACACATGCATAATATGACTAGAGGCCTTGAAAAGATAAGTCAAAGGAAACCAAAAAATTTTTAATGGAAACCTCTATTTTATTATATACAAATATAGTTGAATTCGTGATATTTCATAGTAATAAAATATTTTTTCATTAATCATTTTTCCTTTAATAAGATTTGACTTTTACAGTAACTTCGGCATTAGTATTAAAAAATGTTCGAACATAAAATTTGCACGGTCAGTTTTTCTACATGACGGCCCAACTTTAATTTGGGCAAGAAAGTAGTGAATTAGCATCATTGTGGAAATATCTTTTATTGAGCTACAAGAATATGAGATATTAAATGTAGAATTTCATATATGACATTGACCGATCTTTTCGAAAACACTTTTTATATATCGATATTTTCTTAGATAATTTTTTTGACTCTATCAGAATTTTATCCACTTTTTGCGTAAGTGACATTTATCTTTATCTTCGTCGCCCTTCTCTAGAACTTATCTTCTCCATATTTCATCTTGCACACGTGTTTCTCTCTGCATCATTTTTTCTCTTTAACTTCCTTGTTCTTCCCCCATATATCGCTATACTTTTTCTCACTCTCATTTACTTGCATGCATATGTATATCAATCAATAAACGTTTCTATGATTCGTTCGAGTTGAATTTGATAGTAAAATTTACGGCTAACTCTGATTCTATGAACGTGATGCCAAATTTACGTTAAATAATATATGACCGTTAGTGTATATCCAAATTGAAATAGTATCCAATTTTTAGTTAGTTTATAGTAAAGAAAACAACTACGAAGCAAATATATGGATGCGAGCTTTCTATTATCAATGTTTAAAGTACTCAATTGAGTGTAAAAGATGTATAATTACGCGTCCTTGTTTAACTGTACTGTTATGAAGAAATATAAACTGGAAATAAAATTGCTAAAACGTAAACAATATTCCATAGTCTTGCCAAAGTAACGTTAAACAATCCTTCGATTTGCATGATTTTCATATATTTCAATTCGGAATTGGTTTTAATTGATGACACACTTATTGAAATTTTTCATTAAATTTTCTAATAGAATTACTTATTGGATCAAGAGTATTTAATAAATATGAATACCCAATGAAAATAATCTAGATGATGACCGATGCGTTAGGCTTGTATCAAATGTATAATGTAAAACGTATTTTCATATAATGGCCAGTTTGTACGAATATTTTTATTCGGCAAATAAAAATATTTAATCTACTACTGTGTGTGTTAGTGAGTGAGAGAGAAATAGAATGACGGAGATAAAAAATAAGAGGAAAAAAAAGCAATGATACCATAATAATTAAACATGCAATCACCGACGATTGCTACAGTACTTATCGAATAGCTTATTTTTCTGTGGATTTTGGTTATTGCGTCATAGCTTTTACACGTGAAAATTTAAATATTACCTAATAACGAATGCTTAGCGTTCTTTTCCTTCTTTCCTGCGATGATCGAAACACTGAAACAAAATATATGGAGCTACTTTAGAAAACATAAAAATTATGTTGAACAATTTACCTGATTTTAATGATGGTATACATACGTTATATAGTGCAATCATTTATGTAGAATGCAACATAAAACGATAATCATTTCCTATAATTCTTCGAATTGCACGGGTCAGTAAATTCCGTATTAAACAGATGCGTATTAAGTTTCTGATAGATTGCTTTCTGCAGCTATTTATGAAAATGAATTATTGAAACAGAAGCTTAAGAAAAATAAACTTTAGAGAAATAAACACTTTTCTTCAATTTGATTAAACCAATAAAACTTTATTGCAACTAAGTAATATATATGAATTACCGCAATAACCATCGTATTGATTTCGTCTCTAATATCTTGCTCTGAATATTTTCCTCCTTTGTGCGATGACTCCAATAAATAGTCTAGAAGTATCTAGGTTTTTGTTCTTGAGAAATAAATAGTGATCAATTTAGGTGATTAATTTAAGATATAAACGAAAAGTAAAATTGCATTGCGTGTATAATAATTACTTTTACCTGAAATTTCCTCTTTCAATTTCTGGTTAATGATATTTCTTAACAAGGATTCTTTTTTTTTTCTTTGATTATCTTTCCAAACAAAAAATAATATATATTTATAAATAAAATATAATACTTCAATTTTAGATTGTTAAAAAAAAATAAGATGGATTAAGAAAATGTATGTCTTAAGTATACATTGCTTGCAACGTTATTCAAGTAGGATGCACATGTCTGAAATTTCTTCTCCATATCAGTATTACGAAAAATTATATTCGGATGTAACCATATTATAAATATCCTTTGCGTAGCTATATCCATCGAACTGAGGAAGAAAAACAAAACACGAATTATGAATGAAAAATAAAATATTTGAAATAGTATAAAATTTAGTAATATTACCAATGAATATATTCATCTAGTTTGCAATTCTCATCGGTCAGCGAATTTACTTGAGTATCAAATAGACTATCTTTGAATAAGTAATGTAACAAAAATATTATAAATTCATAGAAATGAATATAAATTTTATAAACGTTTATAAAATTTCAAAATGTTACCATATATTATGTCAAATGTACAGCGAAAGTCATAATGGCAAATGTCTATATTCTCTACAACTAAAGTTTCCAATTTTTCCATTAAAGCGACTGAATGATTAACGAATACATCCACATCAGAGTTTAGATATTTTTTAAGAAAGACTTCATTCAATATTTTTCGATGAGGATTCCACATTTTTACTGCAAATAACAATAACAATAACAATAACAATCATAGTAAAATAACAATAACAATAATAATAATAATAATAATAATAATAATAATAATAATAATAATAATAACAATAAAAATAATAATAATAATAATAATAATAACAACAATAATAATAATAATAATAATAATAATAATAATAATAATAATAATAATAATAATAATAATAATAATAATAATAATAATAATAATAATAATAATAATAATAATAATAATAATAATAATAATAATAATAATAATAATAATAATAATAATAATAACAATAATAATAATATTTTTTATTTATTTTTTTTTTTTTTACGTAGGAGGTGAAATGCATTTACGCACAGAGACAATTTCTTGTCCCTAGTGTTGGATTCATTTCTATACCGACTAAAACGCCTCCTACTGCTGCTGGGCACTAACCCGGAACCGTTTATCACATTACTTCGGGCTAGGCTTGTTTTCTTCGCCCTTTAGGTCACCCTCCGCCCATCGGAAGTCACTTGTCCGATTTTCATCTTCAACTCTCGCTTACGTTGCGCCCAACGATCACAGTGGAAAAAGGTATGCTCCACGTCGTCTTTTGTTCCTGGACAGACAAACTTGTGTCCTTCTCCGGCCCAACTTATATAGGTAGGCTCGGAAGTATCTATGCCCGCTTAGGAACTGTGTGAAGTAGTAGTTGGTCTAACCGTGCCGCCTCTCCGTCCACGTCTTTACGTCTTTGCTCAATCTCGCGGTCTAGCGTCCTCTCGACTCGTGTTCCCAGGACGCCTGCCAGCACCGAAAGATCTTTTCTCTCTCCTCTTTGCTTTGTACCGCCTTTCTAACCTTGGTTTTCCTGAGGTGCACCGCTTTACATTCTTTCGCCAAGAGCGCAATTGGTATGACTCTAGCGATTACTAGTATGACAGATTCGGACACCGTCCTGTACGCAGAGGCTATCCTAAGTGCTACTCTTTTCTGTACCTGCGCCAGGTGTTCCCGGTACGACTCCTTGCTAAGCGAGTCCATCTACACTTCAGCACTGTAGAAGAGGACTGACTGTACCGCGGTCATTAGCAATCAGTACTTACTGGCTTTGGGCCCGGTGACGTTGGCCATAAGCTTACTCAGCGAAGTAATGCCCTTCGCAGCTTTATTTGCAGTTTGCTGGAT